GCGCTTTCCGAATTTTCAGAATCCCCTTCGTCCTTACTTTTCTTCTTTTTTCATTCTGTAAGTTCATCGGATTCGTCGGTTAAGCTAAAGCTTAGTTGTAAACTTCTAGGAAATCGAAAAGAACGAAATCTTTTGAGCTCGGCCCGTAGCTCGTCATTTTCTTCGCCGAATGTATCATTTATTATTATCAGAGTTTGATTTTCATCTTTTAGACATTTATTCTCCTTTGTTATGATTTTACCTGAAGTATAACCTCTTTATTTTGGGAGCTCAATCGATCGTTTTGTTGTTTTAATTCAGAAATATTTTGTTTTAATTCGCGATTTTCTAAATGAAAAAAATATATATTTATATATTTAGTAATTAGATTGACAATATTTAATTCAACTTTCGGTAACGAACCTGTGGTAAAACTAAAACGATCATCTTTCAGATTTGTTGCTTGATCACGACCATAATGTCTTGGTTTGGGAATAGGTGAAAATTCTGCAGATACAGTATTTGGAGTTTTCAAATTGCCAAATAAAAATTTAGACAGTAAACGAATATTTGGCAATTTACCGTGCAATGCATGTATATTTTCGATATTTGCTGTTAGATTTCAGTTCGTGCCTGGTGGAGTATTATTTTCTCAAACTTCAGAAGGTGTTCAAGCATGTAGAGTACTTGACTCTCGAATTTCAGAAGGTATTCGGACATGTGGAGTACTTGGCTGAATACTTTCTGCTGTATTTTGACTTGGAGAAGAAACGTTATGGATATTATTTTGATTACCGTCTGGTATTTCTTTATATTTATTTTTGTTTTTTGTTTTTTCTTGTTCTAAACGAATATTAATATTTGACCAAATGTTCGTCGCATTTTGATTTGGAGAAGAAGTTCGATCACCGTCTGTGCTTCCGGTTTCTTTTAATAATAGCTTTATAAACTTTAATAGTGATTCTGTAGCGATTTCTGAAAGATTATATCTTATCTAAAAGCTCATAATCCATATTAAGATCCATAAAATTTGTTATTACCTATCGTCTCTGCAGTAATTTGAAATAGATCAAATTCGGGACATGAGTAATCTTCAAAATTTTTGTAAAACTCTTCATTATTGGTTAATCCGGTATCGTCATCCAAAGAAGAATCTGTATTTTGTTCATTATCGGTAAAGAACTCTGAATCTTCGTTCTTTGGATCTTTGTGTTCTAAAGTAACCCTAGCTGAATTTTGACGATTACCATGTCCTTTACATGTCTTCTAGGTAAGAATTTTAATTCAGGTTCATAACTATCGTCATCATCCATAGTTTTATTTTCTTGTATATCTTGACTATCTTGTGTATCTTGTTGAACCACAAATTGACGAAAGGTTGATGTTAAAGGTTCCGGAATGTAAATGCCTTCTAGTTCAACTTCGTCTTCTTGATCTGTAGTTACTTTTCCAGACGAACTCTTGGCTTCATGTAAAATCTTTGTTCGTGGATCCACAAAATCGCCTTTACAATCGATACAATTACAGCGAACCTTCGATATTGCTTTACAGACAGACCTACTAGCAGTAGAACGATTAACTTGTGATGACTCATCGATTACATCGCTAATCACTTTTTTTCTAGGCATTGTGTTTCCTCTTTAAGTTTTTTGTCAATTTGCCTTACAATTTGATTATAAATTTTCTAAGAAAGTTTATATGTTCATTAGTTTCAGAGATTAATTAGTTATTTATAAATATATAAATATATTATGAAAAAATTAATAAATCAACTTTATTGAT